AATCTCTTTCATCTGAACTGCCTATACACATTCTTGAGAGCTTAAGAAAAACATTTCATAATGATTAATAGACATGAAATGCTCAAAAAACCCCAGATGCACAGTAGTGTATATCTTCTCAATGATTAAGAGTTCTCAGCATGTACCATTTGGTTTCTAAATGGGGGGAAATTAGTTAATATCTACAAGTATCCTATAGACATTCTGATATCCACAAGTAATGCCCATGAGAAAAGATAGGCGTTAGATACTGCTCCCCAGTACCATCAGCCTGCCAACACCAATAGTAAGAACTGGAGAATGGGGGTTGATGGTTTGGAACAAAACAAAACAGCAACAAACCTCGCAAGAAACTGGAATTTAGAGCTTAATATCTAAATTAACTATGAGTAAACTTTTAGCTATCTCTAAATGTTTACCTACAATGTAGAATATTATTTAGACATTCTTTATACACATTTCAGGCTCTTGAATAATTTGTCATTTTCTTGTCTTTCAAAAAAATACACACATATATATATATATATATATATATATATCATATGCTGTATTACAGTTCCCTATATTTCACTCACAGAAAATCTTCTTGTGCTATCATGCTCCCATACTTCCCCTTCCCAACTTTTGGAACTTTGACCTAAATGTGTAAGAAAAAAGGGGTTTCTTTTATAATCTACTATAGTTTTAATCTATTTGAGAATATTTGAAGATGTAATCCTTTTCATGGGAGCACAATGTAGATTTAGGTATATCAATATTTAAATTGTTTTTAATTCCAAGGATTAACATATAAATGTAAAGTGTAAATGTAGCATGTGAATATGACAGTATAAAATGTGAATAGATTCAGATTTGGTGTGCCTGATGCATTAAGGGACCACTGAATCTAACCCTGAAGTAGTCACTGTAAAGTCATGTATATTAGGCTGTGCAGTGTGGTTGCATGATTCACTAAATTAAAAGGACACTTTAATCTTCTTGTGATTCAAAAATAATAAAGTTGTATGTTAAAATCAGGATTCAGAAGAAACTGGACAAGAAAGAGTTCAATATCACAAATTCATTTTTCTATTTTCACATTGTATTATAGATACATATTTGTTAACTCTCTTATTAGAAGTGAGTTTGAAAGACAGGGACAAAAATCCAACACCTACCACGGAGCTTTATGCCTACTCTGGGCTCAGTAGATGTTTATGGAAGAAATAAATGAATGAGTTATAGAATGATTTCCTTAACTTAAGTACATGTGATTTTTTTTTCTGGTTATTTGTCCCTTTCACTACACATTATCTATATATTGCTTGTCATGTGTGTATTATATTTTGTAAATACTCCCCTGTAGAACAAAAACTCTTTGGCAAAGATTGCCTCTGTGGAATAATGATGCCCAAAAATGTCCAGTCCTAATCCTTGGCACCTGTGAATATGTTACCTTGTGATGGTAGATTATCCTGGATTATTTGGGTGAGTCCAGTGCAATCACAAATGTCCTGAAGAGTGGAAGGGGGAGGCAGACAAGGAAGTCTTCAACAGCTGTCTCTGGCTTGGGTAATATAGGAAGGGGACATAGCCAAGGGAAGCAGCCAGTCTCTAAATGCTAGAAAAAGCAAAGAAACAGATTCTCCCTTAGAGTCTTTAGAAAGAAACACAGCCCCACTGACACCTTGATTTTAGCTCAGCAAGACCCATGTCAGATTGTCAGGAACTATGAGATAATCAATAAAGAGAGTTTAAGCCATTAAGTTTGTAGTAATTTGTTACAGCAGGAATAGAAAAATGAATACAGTCTCTGACACACCCTTTGTATCCCCTTCAGTGACACAGGATGTTGCACAAAAAGACTCAGGTATCTCTTGTAGTTCATTTTTTTCATCGCTTCTTTTTTCACATTACTGTTTGTTACCCCATTCCATGCCAGAGTGGGACAGCCTCAATCAGGATTTGTCTGTTTGTAAATGACAGAAAGCTAACACAAACTCTCTTAAGCAAAAGAAGCACAAGGTGTACATCTCATATAAGCGGGAACTCTAAGGGATGGAACTGGGATTCAGTCCTAACTATGCTGAGGTCCCAAATCAGTCCACAAAGATTCTCTGTCTCTCTAATCTGCTTTCCTTTCTATGCAACCTTCCATGTTTCTATAATTCACATTTTTAGTGGAAAGATTGTCCTCTTTGGCTTTCAGGAAAAGATTCTTATTTACCCATCTTAGTAGCATAAGAGGATGGAAGGGTACTATGATTATCCATTGTTGCATTAAAAACTTGCTGGCTAAAAGTATAAACATTTATTCTATTTACTCATGATTCTGCAATTTGAGCAAAGCTTATAGGAGACAGCTCCTTTCCACATCACTTGACACCAGCCCGAGCCAGCTAACTAACTGGAGGGCAAGGATTCACTTCCAAGATGGCCTCACTCATGCAAGTTGGTGCTGGCTGTTTGCTGGTAGCTCAGCTGAGGTTATCAGCTGGGAAGACTTAAGTTCTTCATGTGTCTGTTCCAGATGTCTGCTTCTCACAGTATGGCAGTCTTAGAGTAGTTGAACTTTATACACACTGGCTTCCCACCCAAGTGCAAAGTGGAATTTTCTTTAGTCCTTTTTAAGATTTAGCCCCAAACTGACACAAGGTCACTTGTGCCACATTTTGTGGATTAAAGTGGATCACAGAGCCCTGTCCAGATTTGAGGAGAGGGGACTGCATCCACAAAGATGTGAATGCTGTTGTTATGGTTCACTGGAGCCACCAGTAGCAGTCTACCACAGTGGATAGTGGAGCTTTTGAGTGATAATCCCCACAAGACCATGGGGGAAATAAATTGTAAGGGCTATCCCACAAAGCAAAGGGGCTGAACACAAACCTCAGGTATCTCTCACAATCAGTTCCAAGAGTGGTAGAAAATATTAAATAAAGCAAAGCTGCATTTCCCTCTAAATATATTTACTATATAGTTTGTATATTTTCTGGGGTTGGAGAGGTAATTAAAAATTTAGGTTTACAGTTAAGAAGTTGCAAACTTTTTCCCTGTTCAATTTGTTTATTCTATGAATGAAAATGATGATAATATATAGCAGATACTACTACAAAGGAATTAAATGGTGCAGGATTCATGATGAATAAACTATAATGTGGCTAATCCAGTGGTGTTTATTTGCAGTAACCTTTTTAATGTGACAATTCCTTGGAAATCGTAGTGAAATATTTTCACCCTACATCTACATTTTTATGGTTTGTATTTATTTTTCACAGTACAGATCCCAAAATGTCAAATTACTAGAGCTGTTTTATGGAAATTAGTTTTAGGTTAGAATATTTGAAATGCATTAAATTAATTTTATCTGTTTAGCAAAGTACAATAAGGTTTTTCGCATTAACAAAGTTTTCTTTATGATATCGGCTGTGTGTATGTTTAAAGACATGGTGGACTCAAATCTTGTTTGAATTTTATATTTAGCAAATGAACATGCGCTGTTGGGGATTAAACAGTATTTGGAAAATGTATGCATAAGGATTATTTAGAATGGAATTGCCAAAAATCCTGGAATATTTAATACACACTTGTTGATTGATTTTACTGCAATAAATATGAAGCAATAACAACTATATAAATTATTCAGAAACTAGTCATCCACAGCAGGATTCTTTAGAGATTACTTCAGAAAACAGTTTGGCAGGATATTCTTTTTATAGTTTTTTTTTTCCAAATCCATGTACAAAAGAGATATAGATCCATATGGAATGGATTAACATTGATTCTTTTAAAATGAAATTAAACATTTTAAAACGTTCAAGTGAAGATTGTATGATCTTTCCTACTAAAGCTCTCTTTGGTAATTTATTTATCTTAAATATTATTTTTGTCTTTCAGGAGGCATTATATAGCGAATGTAAGAGATTTATTAAAAACCTTGGATCGCTTGAGAGTGCTTTAGTACTTTGCCTCAAAATCTGCACATAGGCAAAATTCCTGATATTATGAGTTGGGATTTTCAGTTTAAGAGGATTTAAAATCTCTGCTAAAGCAAGGGCTTGTTAGGTGTTTCTAAGCATCGTATATCAGAGAGACACAGCTACTTACCAATCATTCAAACTAAAATGGGGCAGGACAGGACACATGGAATCAAAGAGACCAATTTAGACCAAATAGAAGGTATCAGGTTCTCTTAAAATTGGTCTTTTGTTCTAGAAAGATATCCTGCTCCAGAAGCAGATAGAATAATCAATATTTACATAGGTATGGACCTCTTTGTATATGCAGATCCAGATCACTTTTTAAAGATTCTCAAGCATTAAAGCAGTTGGAGACATAGTATTGAAAAGAGTAAATGTTTGCATATTTGGAGTTAGAGATCCCAATTATCTACTTATAAGTCGTGTGACTTTGACAAAGTCTTAATGACGTTTTTTTGTTTTTTGCATAATAATCCTTTTGGGTTCCAGTTCCCTACTATCTTGAGGTCGTTCTGAAGATTCAATTAAAGAATGCCAAAGTACTTTACACACTGCAAAGCATTACATTATCAAAATTTACATTATGACTATTATTACTAATAAAACATGATTAGATGACTGGCCTATAAACAATTCACTGAAAAATCCAAGTAGATTGGATGTGTTTTATTTTTTAAAAAATATACTCATTTAAAGGACTCTTGAGATCCAAAGTAGTTAATACTTTTGTTCCCCTTTTTATTTTTTTTTATTTTTTTTTTTGTTCCCCTTTTTAAAATGGTTATCCTTACATCATTGACTTTCAATGGAAACAAAATCTGGAGAGATGAATGTACAAATTTTTGCTGACCAGCTAGGGGTTTTATTTTACTAACTGTAACCTAGAAGGGTCATGGCTGTTAATAAAAGAAAGAAACTTGCCTCCTGGTATGATTAGTTTCTTGAGATGACTCGTATCCAGTTGGAAGTATGGCAATGGTGTGGGGTGCATGGGGCCAATGGATATTTTTGTTGATTGTTTATTTCTCTGTGTTTCTCTCCCAGCTATCGGCAGGACCCTTATCCCTCGTTATTTTAGCACTGTGTTTGAAGGAGGGGTGACTGACCTGTATTACATCCTCAAACACTCTAAAGAGTCATACCACAACTCATCCATCACAGTGGACTGCGACCAGTGTGCTATGGTCACCCAGCATGGGAAGCCCATGTTTACCAAGGTACAGGACGTACTCAGCAATATGACTTGTTCTTCTGTGGGTATATTAAAGGATAATAATTATGATTTTCTTCTGGAACTTTGAGCTGATTTCTCACATCTCAGATACTTGCATTGCTATGAGATAATCTCTTCTGTTTGTGACATGGCTAGACTCTTGGTGAACACTGTTCTAAGATGTGTGTGTGTGTGTGTGTGTGTGATACAGAGCATATGAATGTCAAATATGATAGATCCTCAAAACTAAGAGTTTTGGCTGCCTGTTAAGCTCAGGTTGCTAAATTAGAATTTTGATTGTTATACAAAGACTCTTCTACAGCTAAAAGAACATTTTCTTGTTGTTATGTGGTCAGTATTTGTGCTTTGTTTCTAAAAATACTTTTTAAAGCTAAATTCAAATGTTAACAAACGGGAAAAAGCAACTAACTACAACTCAAATAGTTGTAATCTTTAAGGGACATAGAAACATAAAAATATAAATGAAACTAGGGAATTCAGAGTTTAAAATCTATTTCCCCAAATTCTGAGAAGTTCTGTGGTTGGTCAGTCACCAAGTGAACACAGTAGAGCCAAAAGTTGGTTATGAGAAAATGGGGAGGATAGTGGGTGGAGGACCCTGTAACACGACCTTTGAGGCAGAATTCAAGTCCCTATGAAGGATGTAAAGTGAAAGAGAAGAGATAGAGAATCAACATGTTTTCTCTACATTCTACACCTATGACTCTTCCCATCCACTGACAATCAACATGTGGAATATTCCTCTGAGCAAAGACTTTTCTAGAACACTATAGACGATCCCTTTATGTCCTCTCTCAAGTAGCAAACTTAGTAAGAACAAAAATTTAGCAGAAGAATCTGACAAACAGAAGTTTATTTTAATGCACATTCGTTCACTGCATTTTGATGAAGTCTCAACATGAAACTAATTTGTAATATTAATGACAGCAGCTATCTCTTTTAGTTGAAAACACACATGATGATCCTCTATAGTTGAGAAGTTGAATGATCAGGGTTAATTGCAAAAGCCCAAATTATAAGACTGGGGATGTGTTTGTTACTTGTGTATAGTTTTGCTGAAAGAATAAAAATAAATGTTTATCATTTAAAGTACCCATTGATCTTGTTGGTATAGCTTCATCTTCCCAGTACTCATGAGGATGTAAAAAAACCAAAGGCAAAGCAAATGGTGATAAAATGCAAAAGCAAATCACAAATGCCATTGATTTCATGGTATCTTGATTGTGTCAATAGACATTTTAAATGTGGGGCAGGCGTTGGGTTTTTCTTTTTCTGACTTTTTAACAGTTGAACAGAGAAGGAAGGTTGCCTATCAAGGACAAAGAACATTCCCATAATGTGCAGAAGTCCATGCTGGGAAGAGAGTTTTGTTACATGGAAAGGAATGATCACCTGGATGGTTTCATCTGCTGATGTCTCAGTTCATTTTGGAGACCTAAAATATTTACATAATCTTGCATATCAGATGGATAACACAACCTATTTCAAATGTTATGAAGTCAGAGCCCCATAGAGAAAAGCTTTCTCTGCTAACTCATTATTATTTTGTTTGTTTTGTTTTTTGTCGAAGTTTAGCATTGTTTAGGTAATCAAGAAAAACACACCAATTCCTTATGCCTTAAGGGAAAAAAGAAATCCATGAGAATTAAATAAAATGGCTATAATGAAGAAGCTACTTCCAAAGCCTACAGCCATTGGAAATAAAATGCAGTTTGTGGCAACCCTTTTATAAAATGTAAAATATTTTATATAAACATATTTTATAATAATTTTAAAATAACATATATAACATTTTATGTGCATGTAAAATATATGATAAAAGGTAGTCCTTTATATTTTCTCAATTTCTTTCTTTTCAGGCCAAAGTTTTTTCATTAATGAGCATAGTCAACTGCTTTGAAGATAAAAATGCCATATATTCAGGATGAGTTTTTAAATTAAAAAAAAAATCCCATTCTTTTGATGAATCAATAAAGTGCCTTTTTTTTATTCGAATCAAGCAAAAGTTTTCCTCTGTTGCAATTTTTCCTTATACAGGAATGCTCCCCTCTTAGATGGAGCAGTGGTTGGCTCAGGCATCCAGGGTAGCCACCAGGAAGACCAGAGCAACCTCTTCTTGAACTCAGCTCTTTCAGCCTAAAACTTCCAATTATTCAGGTCACCTCTCACTCTACTCCATGGCAGTACATTTCCTAACTCTTATAATGAATATTTCCATACGCTGATGAAAAATACCACTTTCTGGGAAATGCAACTTAACTATGTGGACTTAGTCCAGATGCTAATTATGCACATTTATTTTTAGAAAATTCTAAAAAGTTAATTTTCTTCTTCTTCTTCTTCTTCTTCTTCTTCTTCTTCTTCTTCTTCTTCTTCTTCTTCTTCACCCCCCCTTGGTTATTATTATACTACCCAAAGAATCCTTCCAGTTTTTCTTTTGTTCTTATATTAATTAAAAATAACCCATCTTCATGTAATAAAAAAATGTGACTATTTAGTATAAAGCAGTAAGCTAATGACCTTACACTATCACAAAGAAAAATATAGTCTGGAAGCTGCTGCTTTATTTTTAAAGGGGAGCCCACTGTACATGGAATTACTTTTTAGCACATTATGTGAAGGCAGTATCACATTGTTCTAATTTAGACTATCAATACACTCTAATTCCCCAAATAGCATTTGACCCAGTGGTTCTGAGTTGCTTTTATGAAAATTTGGTCAACTGGTGAATCAAAAATCAGCCACAGTCCTAATCAACAGTAATATTTAATATTCCTCAGGAGTATCATGCACATTTTGCAATTTCCTGATCCTAGGAACATTATAGATTATGGATAAATATGTAATTAGAGTTTTAAAACACACATTATGAAGCCTTTCTTTTCTGTATTCAATTTTGAATCAAATTGAAAACAAGGCTTAATAAGCTGAAGAGGAATCACCAAGGTTTTCAGAATCAAAGGCCCTTGAATTATATTTGAGGGTGTGAATACTGGCAGATGCTGAGAGGAGGCCTCTCTGGGGTACACATCAGCTACTTTTAGATTTCCAAACTGTAGTAATAGTTACAGCCATTACCAAACACCCTTATTACTCTATAAACATAGCTAATTCTCTGATCTCGATTATTTATTATGCAATTATTTATTACTATAGAAAAATACTCTGGAAGTGCCCCAGCCACTTTTCCTATATGAACACTCTTTCATATCTTTGACATCATTCCTATCCTAGCCTGTCTATAGCATTATACAATAGGATTTATACATTTCTACCCTTATTCCAACTCCAGTTGAATTAGCATAATATCAATGATCATATTGCTCTAATATGTGTATATCTATGCATATACATCTGCAGTATCTCTACATAAAATACAATGAGCTTTATGCAATTGTTAATTTGAAAACAATATTTCATGCATAAAGACCAAGAAAACTAAGTAAACACTTCTACCTAAAAACACATTTTCTTTCATAACAGCTCTATGAAAATCATTTGTATTATACAACAGCATGGTCAACATTGCTTTACAATTAGTCAAAGAAAGAAAAGGGTTAAAAAGCTACCGGTTAGTTTGAGAAATGTTCTTTTTTAGTTCTCTTGTTCCTGGCCTAGTCTCAAGCTAGCACGTGATCCGCTGAATGCCTGCCAGCCTCTTTCTTGTTGATCCTCCGGAGACCATCTGTGCTGGGGGCATTGATTAGAGTGTGTCTGCTGGGATTACATCTTTTCTGTTGCCATGCCAACTAATCAGCTGATTTTGGTTACCACAGAAACAAAATGTCAGAGCTCACAGTACGGTAACATGAATTCAGCACAACAGAAAATGTTTTCTTAATTGGGGACCCTTTTGATTTTGGATTCCAAGTGAAAGACAGCTTTTAAAAAAAGGCCAACTTTAGATAAAAGCTACATTAATTGTATTGATTAAGAGGAATGCACAGAATTTTTCTGAAAAGAGAGAATATTAATTCTCCTTTATAAGCTATGTCTGTTTTTTACCATTTCCAGACAAGGAATATATATATATATTTTTTTTTCCTTAGGCACCTCTATTCCATTTGCTGATTGTTGTATGTAAAATAAATCACAAAGCTTTCAGTTTCCTTTAACTTCCATGATGCAGGCGGGAGTCAGGGAGGCCAAATAGGGCTTGGGAGAAGGCCATGGGTTTAACTACCCTGGGGGAGACCAAGGGTGACCGAATTCTCCTCCATTCTTCTGTTTGAGGAAGTCATTTAATTTTCCTTAAAGAAAACACCCAACACAGTCAACTCAGATTCAATTTTAAGGATTCCTCTCTTGCATGTGATATGCTCTGGATAAAGCTGATTTCTTGATTTTGGCTGACAAAGGAGGAGTCCAAGGCTTGTTGCAGCTCTCCCTTTTGTAGACTCACTACAGTTTGATGGCAAGAAGGGTCTTCAACTGGTTTGCTATGTCATGGTAAACAGAGAATGCAATTTAACTTGACCTTACAGATCCTCCAATTGAGTAATTCATCAGAAGGACTACATCTATACCTTCTCATTATGAAATTCTATTCCAGTAGAAGTAAACCAGAACCTCCATCTGCCCTGGGTTTGTGGTTCATAAACACAAAACAAATAGATTAAATAAAAAAAAAAAAGCATGACATTTAACTGGGCTAATATTTGTTTAAACATCTAATAATCCCCTTTCCTTTAAAAAAAAAAAAAGGATTATAGCATCCAAATATCCCTGTCCTCTACTGTCAAGATATTTCAGCTGTCACTGGCTGATTGCAGTCACCACCCTTTTGTCTGAGCTTTCACTGCAGGTGGCTTCTATCATACTAACACCCCCAGGAGGAATTGTGTGGCTTAATCTCCATGCAACCCTTTTGAATTAATTCACCTTGGTGAATTAATTGCCATAGTAGGGATGTTCTAGAGGAGTGGTTTGGGGACAAGAAAGTCTTCCCCATTTCAGAGTGCACAACTCTCATGGCTAAGATGCCAGAAAAGAAGCTCTGAAGACCCCTCAACTGAGGAGTTTAGGGGCATGGTGTCTAAATGCCTAAAATTACCCACAGATTCTGTCTGAAGTGGGGTCTGAGCTGGAGGTCTTCACCCAGATTTTCTATCATTATCCTACAGTGCTTCTGAGACCTTTGAGAAAAAGAAAATGGTAGACATCAATAGCATCTTTCTTAAGTAATGTCCTATCAACACGTTACTAACTCTACTTGTGCTGGTATTTGGGTTGTTTAAAGAAAATATTATCAGAGCGTGTGGTGGCTCAATTGGTTAAGCATCCAACTCTCTCTCTCTCTCTTTTTTTTAAGCATCCAACTCTTGATTTCAGCTCAGGTCATGATCTCAGGATCATGATGTTGAACCTTCCGTTGGGCTCCACACTGGGTAGCTCCACTCACAAATTTTCTCTCTCTAAAAAAAGTTTAAAAAAAAGAAAAATAGTAAAGAAAATACCCTTAAATTAGAGTAAATAGCACCTAACCCAGTGCCTAGGACATAGTTGGAACTCAATAAATGGTAGCCTTTTGTGCTAAATTCCCAAAGAGAGAAATGGTAATATCTCATAAAGGGTTGAAATGAATTGCTAATTATCTTCATGGACTATAGTTTTAGAAATGAGCATACCCCCTATTGAGTTAATTGTTATTTATGATTTTTAAAAATTGTGTAGTTCATTGATTTCCAAAATTTTATAATTTGTTTTTAGCATAGGAAACCTTTCTCCAGGAAAGCTTGATCAGAAGTCCAATATATCAAAATGATGAACCTGAAGCTGCTCTGGTCAAATTGAGAAAATAGGTGGGGATCACATGGTCTGGATGGAGGCTGAACTCTTCCCAGAGCACCTGAGACACATCCCTGGATCCTTAGATGTCAGAGAGCACTTTATGACAACCACTAGTATGGGGTTCTGCATTCATTAGTTACATTTCTTTTATCTTTAGAGCTATCATTTACCGCCATCCTACCATGTCCCAGGTACATACCAGGCACTCTACACATGCATTATCAGTCATATATTTCCCTAGCAACCCCATACAAGGTTAGTATTATCCTCATTTTAAAGATGAGTAAACTGGGACTTAGGGAATTTATTTGGTTTCCTCAAAGTCTCAAAATAAGTAAAAAATAGAGTTAGGATGAATCTAGTACTTTCTGATGTCAAAGCCTCTGTCTACTCTAAAGCAAACATGGACTGAATAATCAGTTGTAAGTATTTAAAATGGACCAATATGCTATCACTACTTCCTATTTTTTAATTGAAATAGGATCAGTAGTGTCCAATTGCTTAGCATTTTCTCCCATTTCAAAGTCATTAACAGTGAAATAAAATAGGTAAATTAAATAGAAACTACATGCTGAAAATGATCTGAATATCAAAAGAAGAAAAAAAATGATCATCCTGTCAAGGAAAAGAGCCTAGCAAATTCTGTTTCATTAATAATACATATTTTTCTGAGAAAGATACCGCCCCCTCCCCCAAAGACTGGCCTTTTATGCAAGCAGAAATTGAGACTGCTGATAGGATGTGATTGAAGGAATATATCCTAAGCATGCCTCCATTTTCCACATGCCAGTAAATGATCCCGGTAGCCTTGGGTTTTAAACATTGTCCCTCTGGAATTTGTCCCTGAAAATGAAAACTTACTCTGGTTTAGTAAACTTGTAGTAAGACACACTTAAGCATGAATTATTTTATTAGGTACTTTCTCCAGGAGTAGGGCAACCATGATTAGAACAAGATTTCAAACTACGATGGTAGAAGGATGATGAAAGCAGAGATAAAAGGGGTGGGAGAGTTTTGCAGAGATACACCATGTGCAAGGAGCTTTTGACATAATACTGCAATAATATAGGTTTTGTTCCCATATTTGCATTGAAGGAACAGAGGCTCACGGAATTTTGGCAGCAACCAGTCAAGTTACTAGTAACTCACAGCCAGTAAGCAGCTGTGCTGTCTTTTGAACCCATGGATTCTAGAGCTCATGCTTGTCTCAGTGTGCCATGGGTAAAGCATTTGTGTCACATCCTTGCGAGGATCCAGTACTGCCCAAGGACAGTCAGGGAGACCATGCTGAGCAGCTGACGTGTGAGTTACAAAAATGTGGCATTCACAAAGTGCACAGCAAATGAGTGTGTTGTTTGTCGCTTCTAGGTATGTACAGAAGGCAGACTGATCTTGGAGTTTACCTTTGATGATCTCATGAGAATAAAAACATGGCACTTTACCATTAGACAATACAGAGAATTAGTCCCAAGGAGCATTCTAGCCATGCATGTAAGTAATTTCAACACTATTTTACTCTCTTTTATTCTCCCCCATCATTTACTCAAGGAGGAAAAGTCTGGTTCTCTCTCTGAAAGAATACCAGCAGTCCTCACCTGTTGGGTAATGAACTCTCAATTTTGAGTTTTCCCCTCAGCCATTTTATTCCACAGGCCTTCCCCCCCCCCCCACCTTGTTTCTGAGTTTGGTGCATTGTGAGATTTTTTTCTGATACTTTATTATTTTAAACTCCAAACTGCGGTTACCTCAATAAACAGTTTGTACTTTTCTTAAATTCCACTGAGTCATTATCAAGTACTGCTCTGCTGGGCTATTAAACCTCTTATGTAAAACCAGGAAAAGAAATGAAACAAGAAGTAAGAAAAACAGTTTTCAGTTTTGATTAGGACCATCTGACAAGACATGGGGCTCACGTAATTCAGATCTGTGTCAATATCCTTCCTAACCATGGTGCTGGAATGAAGCAGATGATTTGGGGTTCTCTCAGTTTCATTTGACCATAAATCACATCAAATTTATTGAACACCTACTAGGTGTATGGCCAGATCTGATGCCAATCTGGAGATATGTTTTAGAGGTAAGACTTGGTAGGAGCTAGTTCAGTGCAGTCCCTGAAGAAGGCGTCAAAGACACTGACGTAAATAAATCCCTCTTCCATAATGCATGATGCAGCAGTTTCTGTTAAAAAGCTTTGGAGCAAAATCAGACTTAATGAGCCTGATTTTTAAGACTCTGTACAGTCAAAAAATAATACAATAAGAGTTGCTAATATTTAATGGGTGTTTGCTACACTAGGTCTTGTGCTAAGCATACATACACATTCAATTTAACCCTCCCAGTAATCCAGAGATGTATGGGATCATTATCCCTGCTTTAGAAGTAAGAAAACCAAGGCTTGGGCTTGATACGTTGTTCCATGTTTCTCAGCCCGAAAGGGGCAAATCGAGATTTCCACTCAGCTGGTAAGGACTCCAAAACCCAAGCTGATGAGCCATCTGTCTCCTGACTACCCAATTCCAGTCTGTCTCCTCAGGGTTTTGTCCTCGACCCTCTCCTCCCTACTGGTTAAGCCAATATCTCCCTTTTCTATTGACCTTGTACTTTGTGCTGTGACACCCCACTCCCCTAGTCCAGTCTTTCTGCCTCTCCATATCCCCAAGTTCTTCTTCACTTTCAAAGCCCATTTCACATCCTCCTCTCCCCTGGAAGCAGCCTGGGGTAGCCACTCGTATTGTTCTCAAAATAGAGACAGCAGAGGGTAGTGATCAGGAGCCTGGGCCTTGGAATGAGACCACATACCTTTGTATCCCTGTCCCTGTGTGACCTTGGGTGAGTGACATGGCATCTCTGGGCTTCCAGTTCTTCATCTATAAAATAGGTACAGTAGTAGAGCCTGCCTCAGAGGACTGGTTTGAGGATTAAGAGTTAATGCATGTAAAGGTTGTAAAACAGTGCCTGGCACGTAGTTGGTCCTCTTAAGTAGTGGTGACCAGCTTTTAGCAGCTTCAGCAGTGGTAACATCCTTCTTTCTGTTTATTATTATCCTTTCCTCTGTCTGCAGAGTTGATGCGTATGATATTGGCCATAACTACTGGATGTGTATCTATAGAACCAGCTGTTCCTGGCATGTGGAAGGGGTCCCATAAACACTGATTCCATGTCCATACAAGACCCCTTTCCCATAAACTGACACAAGAAATGACAAGCTCTGACTCTTTTCTCTGAAACTCAGTTTTTTATTGATATACCACAGCCAATTGGTTGCATGACTATGAGGAAAATTAAATACAGGAAAGAATAAATTAAAGTGTTAGAATAACCTAGATAGTCCTGTGACTGCAGACATGAAGACAAAAGGATGTTTACAGAGTCTTTCTCTGTTTAGCTCCAATATGTTTTTACCAGTTCAGAAAGAAGGAAAGACAAACAGAAAAAAAGAGCAGCAACCAAGATATTCATCTCACAATGAAATCCAGAAAGAATTTTCATTTTTTTTTTGGTAGCCCAACAGAACATCTGGGGTAGCCCATGGAACATTACATCCCCCTTTTAAATGTGGCAGATATTTTGGAAAATGTGATGCTTACCCTAACAGTCCTGCAGGATGAAAATTGTTGAGAACATCTATTTCTAGCCTTAGCTTAATGGGGAAGAAATATAGAATTCTTAAAATATATATATATATATATATATATATATTTCTATGAAATATATGTAATTTCATAGAAGTGGCAAAGTTTTCAAATACAGTCTTGGACTCCAAGCTGTCAAACACAACAGTAACACAACAGGAAACAAGGGCCAGTACTAAAGCCTGGCCCTACCAAGTCCACAGGCCTTTTCTGCTGAGTGCCTGAGACTTGGAAGTATCCTGGCAGGGCTTAATGACTCCCCTCCTGAAGATACGGGGGCCGCTCATGGAGGAAGTAAAGTTGTTTCTCCCAAGAACTGTAAGCATGCCTGCCTCATTTTGGTTCAACCTGGCAACAGATCTTGCACCATTGATCCAAAAATGTCCTTGAGCCATTATATGCAAGTGTCTTCAAAATGTAAATTAAATTATCTCCAGCAACCTCCCCTCTGAGAAAAATCAACAGTGTCGAGATTGCATTTCTTAGCAACTGTAGCCCAGTCTGAGACTTTCTTGGCACCATCTTGCAGAGATAAGATATGTGATCTTTTTTTCCTGTTTAGGCACAAGATCCTCAGGTCCTGGATCAGCTGTCCAAAAACATCACCAGGATGGGACTAACAAATTTCACCCTCAACTACCTCAGGGTAAGCCCAATGGGATAATCACATTTCCTAGTGAGTTTGAAAAGTGCTTTAGAGGTGTATATGTATCTTGAATGAAGGAGTTAAAATGAGGTAATATAGCACAATATGTGTATCTTACACTACAATGTGTGTGTGTGTGTGTGTGTGTGTTTTCAATGGAGGTCGGAGTTTAATTAACAAAGCAGCAAACCTAGACTTTGTCAGGGTTGAACTTTCTCTCTCTGTTTGTATGACTCTTAGAATTAATTATTCAAAGGCCAGCAATGTCTGCTCATACAATGTTTTGGCGCTATGCCCCTTGTAGTTGTCTCGTTTTTGATGTACTGTTGTTGAGTTTACTGCCTCTACATCTCCACCCAGGGAGTGTCCCGGAGAAGACTCAGTGTGCCCTCCAGAAAGGGTCCCCCAAAGTTCATTCCAATGGTGGAATACAGCCATTTATTTTTAAATCTTCTTAGGGACTCTCTGTGTAACATGTAATAGATTTTCTGAGTTGGATATAAAGTCAGTTTTGTTTTGTTTGTTTGTTTTTAAATAAAGAGTTAGGCAAAATTCTCTGTCTGCATGATAACTATAGCTTCTGTATTTGGTCTAAAAGGGAAGCACTTGACACACCAGTTTGCAGTGTAGAACTGTAGTCACTATGTTGCAGGTAGAGGGTGTGGTTTCCTTGATAAAGCAAGCATCATCATCTGCCAGACTCCATAAGAAAGTCAGTGGTCATGTTCCACATCCTTTTGCCTCTAAGTCGTTGAGCTCCCTTATTGTCATTGTGTGGCCATTTCTCTGGTCCATATCGTAATGGAGTTTGTGCTGTTGTTTCTTTATCGCTAAGCACTGTGCTAGTTTGTGATCTTGTTTTGTGTTTCCAACCTTCTGTATACAATCATTTTGCATATATTGAAATGCTGAAATGCTTTGGTCAGACTTTTTCTTCTGTGAATTAAGAAGGATTTGAACAAAGGCTTCCAAGTCATGCACTTATTGCCATGTGCCAGGCCCTAGGCTAGACAGTCAAGATTCAAAGACAAAACTCATGGTACCTGCTATCAAGAATCTCATTCTTCTGAGGGTGAGACCCATAGAGAGAACATTATATACAAAATGCTAAATAACAGTGATTGAAGTTTCCAACTGGAATTATGAGAGTACAAAATGGAGACCTCTCAGAAGAATACATCACAGAAGCTTTGTGGAGGATATGGTTCCTGACTTGAATGTGAAAGAATGAATAAAGGTAAACCAGGGGAAGGAGGCAGGAAGGTCATTCCTGTTAGAGGGAAAAGAGGGGGTCTATATTAGGGGATGGAACTCCAAGCAGGCTACTGATCCGGAACATGGAGTGACAAGCCAAGAGAGGCAGGTGGGAGAGTAACTTGGGAGCCAGGTCTTGGAGCAACTGCCTGGCCAGGCTACCAGGCCAGAAGCCTCTAAAAGGATTAAACATAAGCATAGTAGTGTCCCCCTCCTGAGTACAGGGAGAAGAGCTGTTTTCCATCCAGCCTAGATGTCCTAGATCCAAATCCAGGTATGGTAAAAGCCAGAGTAAGTTTTGCTCCTCACTCCTACCTTGCCCCAACACTACCACCATTTTGGTAGCCCTGAACCAGATTGTTCTCTGATAAATGGTCCTGTGGTGCCTGTTCAGAGAGAAACCAGAGTTTGCCCAGGAGGGTGGGTGGACAGGCGAGAGCCCCCAGTTAGGGTAGCTGGAGCTAGGTTCATTCAAACTTCCAAGCTCTGCATTTAGAACTGCCCCCATAGGGCCGTGGGCACAGTGGAAGTGGGTGGCAAGGCCTGGGAGGTGGGGGTCTATGGCATGCTTTAGCCATGGGAATTCAGAAGGCTGCTGTCTCCTGCTAGGCATTTCATCTTGTGAGAGACCATGAATGGTTTAGTTTAAACTATCTGAAGATGCCTTTCCTCAGATAGAGAGGTTCTATACTATATGTCCTCAGTTGACCCTACATAGGAATCTGGGACTTTGGATTCTATCCTAGACTTGGTCACTGACCCTCGGGTAAAATCTGGACAGATGCTCTATTACATCTTTTAGCTGCATTTAACACAGATCAATAAATGCTAAATTTCCTTCCTCCCCTTTCCCTAGCTCCTCTTATTATCATCAGGAAAATGGTGACCTTCACCTTTGGGTCAACAAGGCAGTTCCACCTGGTTCCCATGTTCTGTAATTCTCTGATTTTAACCCACAAAGACTGAGAAGATCATATCTGCAAAAGTGGAGAAAGGCAGGGATTGGTACCAACCCATCTCCCAACAGTGATATGCAAGGAAGATGTGTGTGGGTTTGGGCAATATGGAGTAGTGTTTCAAAGGCTATCACTTAAGTAGCATTTACAGCATGTCCTGAATTCACTAGTCTTTGCAATGGTCCATGTGCATTAACGCCATACATGTAAGAGAGCCAGGCATGGAGAGTTCAAGTAAGTGAACTCAGTCACCCAGCCTTACACCACCATGTGACTGGACTGGGATTTGAACTCAGGCATTCTGGCTCTAGAATCTGTGCTTCATACAGAGCTCTGCTGCCTTCCTAACAAGAAGGGAAGACAATGATATTGACAGGAATCAGATTGTGTCTTTCCTGCCTTGACAGGGGAGGCAGCACCACCTATCACTGGGTCCTTAATCCACTTTGCCAAAAGTAATGACAGCTGCTTGTAAGGTTTCACATACAGATTAATCCATGTAAATGGCTTAGCACAGGGTCTGAGGACAGAAGGCACTCTGTTATGTTCATTTTCATAATTTATTGAGCACCTACTATGTGCCCACCATTGCTGTTCATACTCGAACCATCGAGAGCAACATGACATCTGGCTCTCTTCTTTCACTCTGGGTCCGCCTAACACTCCTTTACTTTGTCTGTTCACGCATCCTGGGTCAGCAGCTGTTTGTCCTTCCTGCCTCCATTATTCTTCCTTTTGTTTACTTCCTCCATCATTTATTCCTCTGTCAATTGGTTCAGTACTCTTTCAATGAGCCCACTCTGTCTTCCTGGCCTTATGCCAAGTGCTGGGCCTTCAGTGTGGAGAAGATGTGGCCCCTTCCTGGGCTGGGTGAGGCCAGTAGAATATGGTCAGCCACAGTTCCAGTGAGGTGTACTGACAAGGAAGGACCTACAGGGCTTGGGGGAGCCTGGGGAGCTGGTCATCTGGTCTCCAGATAGAAGCCACCTTTTCCAGCAATAACTCAAAGCAGTTGTGAGCCACTTAGCAGGTCAAGTCTGAACAGAACCCTACACTCAGTTCCCAAAACCAGGCACATGGGCTTCCATGAGGAGACCTGGCCTTGTTAGTGGTTACTAAGAATGACAAACAAGGATTTTCTTTTTGGATTAGAACTGTGATCAAAGATTTCCTTAATGCTCTTATCATCTGATATTCATAAGACAGCTGAGCAATCACCAAATCCATTAATTTATAAAACTTCTTTAAGACCTGGAGTTTGCCCATCTTTCTGAGGAGCCAGGCCTTTGCCTGAAGACTCAGGGCATTATCTGAGGTATTGTTTAAATAGTTAATGAGGAGCTCCAAAACCACACCCAGATCAGGAAAAGAGGTCAGAAATGTGTGTTGGCAAGTATTAATCCAAGGCCTTCTAAAACAGCAGACAAATTTTTTTTAATTAATTCATCCTTCTTTGGAAAGGAGGGCTAGAGATTTTAAATGCTACAGACATCTGAAATTTCAATATGCTGTGTCTTTCGTGTAACACAGTTAAGCACTACAGAAAGTAAGCAATTACAGTCATCTAGCTTCGCCAATACAGGTTCATTCACTGCCATGAAATTCCGAATCATTCTCATGGAGGTCTTGCAGTCAGGGGCGCTGCAGAGCTGACAGAGGGGCTCTGGTCATTGGAAGAAGGAGTAAGTGAAGCACTGTGCATGTGGTTTGAGATTGCAAGTGCTGATGATGGCGCCATACTTGGACACTCGCCTGGCAGCACTTTGGAAGGAACTTTGGTGACCTGATGCTTTTGAAGTGACAACAGAACAGATGTGATTTGAGTTGTCAAATTGCCAGGCATTGCCTCCTGTCTCCTCCCAGCATAACAAGGCTGGAGGTGCTCTGTGTTAAGAAGTGTGATGACGCCTGGCTCTCTGGTTCCAGTGGAACAGCAGCTGGTGTTGCCGAGTAGGGATGGGGCTCTGATGAGATGTCACATTTCCTGCCTCAGTGACCTCTGGTAGGCCAGGGCTTACTGTTCCTGTGGTAGTTACCTAAGCTGGGGCTGGGAACAAGCCTGCAGAGTGAGGAGTCATTGCCTCCTCCACATTTCACAAAACATGTCCATCGAATCCTGGAGAGGGAGATTGTTTCCCAATGTAGGATGATGGCACCCCTCAGTGCATTCTAGTGAGGAAACAAGAGAATTAAGGGCTAGGAATTCAGGAACACATCCTTTGCCATGTTTGCTAGAAAGCAGCAAGTCCTGCTATCTGCCTGGCACGGTCAGGAAAAGATCCAGTTCAGCAACCACAGGAAGACAGGGTGCAGTTTGATAGTATTGGGGCATCTGAGTCAACAAGACCTGGTTGTGCAACCTTGTCATTCCCGACAGATCCACTGTTCATTGTTTGCTATTCATTGTTCACTCCATAAGCGTCTATTAGACAGGCCTCCTTTGTGTCAGGTCTCCATAGCTTTCAAGGAGGTCATTGTAGATCGGTTACAAAAGAAAACCAAATCTACTGGGAGAGAAATCTGCCCAGGGTACAGTGATCAATAGAGTAGCTAATATTTATTGAGCACTTACTATGTGCCGAGTACTGTTGCTAGGTACTGTGTACCAAGTACTGTTGTTAGGTACTTTGCTGGAATGCTGCTGCTTTTTTTTTTTTTAATACTTATGACAACTTTATGAGTAAGGGATTCTTTTCAGTCCTATTTTTCAGGGGAGAAAACTGAGACACAGAGACGTAACTGTGACTGAGTCACAGACCAGATAAGTGGCAGAGTTAGGATTTAATCCCA